AGGAATGCCCTGTGTCCACACTCCACTCAGGACAACTGGGCTACTTGTGCTTCTGGCGCCCTGGGTGTTTGCTTGGGCCCTTGCTGTCTGATTAGAATGCATGCATTCCCTCTATCTTGTTAGGAATATGTGAAGGTTGCAAGTAATAGAATCTTTCTCTCCCCTCCAAAAATACAGGTTTTATTTTCCTCAATATGATATCTTTTTTCCCCTTATGCCAGTATTTCCCAAACTTCTTTTCTGCCAGTACCCCTATATTAGTATTCGTCTTTAAATGGACTTAACTTTGTGTTCACTTAAATCTATTTTTTTATTCTAGAAAGCTTACAAGAGTGCTCTCCATGGAAAAAAACAGTATCCCTAGGTAAACTCCCTTGATAAATAAAACAGTATCCCTTGATAAATAAAATTCATCATAAAAAATAAATGCAATAAAAAATACAATGATATTACCTTGTATCTAGGTAGCTCTTGCCTGAGGCATGCTCTGTCCTGGTAAAAGTGTTAAAGATTGGCAGCAAATAGATTTTCTCTTTGATGAAATTAGGAGGATTGAAGAAGAATGGAAAATAGACTGACTTTCTCAGTGTTCTGGTGCCGTGCCCATGCACCACCTAAAGTCATCCTCTGCACCACCTAAAGTCATCTTGAGTGGTGTGTGCTCTCACTTTGGAAAACGCTGCCTGAGTCTCATGAAATGATGAGCAGCTAAAGGGCAAGACGTGATTCTCACTCCCCTTCATGTCCTTCACCTTTCCAAGAATCTATTCCCTAGGCCTCCAAGCCTCCCCACCTCCTTCTAGGGGACGCTGAGGTGCCCCATGAGCCACTGTGTTATGTGATGGGAAGAAATGAGCAGTTATTGTCTGCAGCGCTAGCTGATGGAGTGGTCTGTCTTCTCCAAAACATCAGGAGAGTAGGTTCATCAGGCCCATGGACTTAGGATGTAGAATGAGTGTTTTTCCTCAAGTTCACGCACGTGTGTGTGGCGGGGGGGAGCGGGTATGTGTTGGGGAGGGAATGTAGCAGAGGAAGACTGGGGGGTTTTCTGAACTTCCTTGATTCACAGCGCTCTGTTCCCGAAATGCTTCAATACTCTCATAGTTGGGTTGTGCAAGTTCCCATCTTAGAGCAATGTGTTTGGGAGCCAGGTAAGACTTTGGAGATCAACTGCCGCCTCTCCTCTCCCTAACCCCCTGCCCACTGAGTCTCCTTTTACGGAAGAGGAAACCAGGGACCAGCGAACAGGTGTCCAGATCCACAAATCAGAACTGAATCCAGATGCTTGGAATAGAAACCCATCCCTGCGGCCCTCCTGTGACTGACTCGAGTTGTTCACAGACTTTCTTCCTCCTTTTCCAGGCAGTGCTGAGCCCTCTCATAGCCATCGCGCTGAAAATATCCCAGATTCACGAGAGAACCGGCCGGAGGGGCCCCACTGTCATCACCTGAACGGAGGACAGATCACTCACCACAGCCAAAAAAACGCGCTCGGCAGGGGACGCTTCACTCATGCCTTCTTGCTACCTGTTTGTGCCTCTTATGACTTTGAAAAAGAAACAAAGGTTGATTTGGTGGTGGGCGGGGTAGGTGGGGAAAGAAAAAAATGTCTGTTTTGTTTGGGTTTTAGTCAGTTTCTGCAACTGCAACAGGGTCTTTGGTTGTCTCTGAAAGCTGCACTGTCATCTGATATCTGTGCTTTATCACACAAGGGAACCTGCCCTTTTGAGAGAGAATCAGTGGGCTGGGAATAGTCAGGGCATCTGTGCATCATTGGTGTCAGGTGAGAGAAGGTTCTGGAATAACGGAGGAGCGTGCAATGCCAGAAGTCAGCTGACCCTAAGCCCCAGGTGCTCCCGGACAGGCCTAAGAAGGCTCTCCTCAGCAGCGGGAGGATTTAACTTTTCATCCCAGGTCAGGTCTCCCATGGGTGAAAGTTGTAGAACTCCTAATAGCCCACCTCATGCCCACCAACCACCTGATGGCCACTCACCCTCCTTCCCATCTCCAAAGTCCCCATGCCACCCCCTTCACATCTTCAAGAGCTTTCTACAAACCACAATGACACACTTTCAACAAAACATATCAAAGGGTGTTTTTCTCTCTTATTTTGTAAATAATATCAATACTAGCTATTAAGCAGGCTGCATTCCTTCAAATTCAGCCATTCATTACACAGGTGGGAGGTCATTTCTTAGCAGGACTCTGAGAATGAATGCTGAACATTTTCGGGCCCCGCCTTGATTATATCACGTGGGTTGGTACATGAGTTGATACTAATTCCTGCT